AATAATTTATGAGAAGTATAACACTCATATACCCATTCTAATATATTTAGAAATATATTAAATGTCTGGTTTAATAGAAATCTATTGAATGCTCACTCTGTTTCTGGCTTCAACCTGTTAGACTATGTTGATTTAATGGAAGTATTTGAAGAAAATTTAGCCTCACACAGATTTGGATTTGAAATATAATAATCATCTTATAATAATAATAATCTTTTCAGATGATTGCAGACATCATTCTTTGACACTATACAAAAATCAACAGTTGAGAGTATTTAAAAATGTAATTGCTATGTAGAATACAAAAAACTTATTAATAAACTTTTCACATGAGGCTGCTTAGAATCCATTGGTCTATTTTGCACTACAGATAAATAATTGATCCATGCCGGATTCAAAACATGTTCATGGATTCTGTAGATCTCCTAAATGTTGACACATTTTATCATAAAATATAAAAAAATTACATTCTTTAACATTGTATTGTTCTCATCAGAAAAGATTTTAAGCATGGGGAAACTGGCAAGCTCATAATGACAGATACACATTTTTTAAAGTTCTGAGTTTGCTTGAAAGTTTTAGTTATTTTTCTTGAAGTGGCAGGCTTATTATGTTCATTAATAAGCAAACAAACAAACAAAAAACCTTTTACCAAATATCCAAGTCTGAATAACTACAGTTATTTGCTCATGTAATAAGGTTGTTTCATGAGAAAAGTTTTTATCTTGCCGCTTAAGCAATTGCACAAGGGTTCTACCTGAAGAGAAATTCTGTAATTTAGTATGTAGAAGTGCTTTAAGTGTACTTCCTATTTTGTCATATAAATAATTAAAGAAACATGTATTCAAAGATTGAGATTTAACAGAATTAATTTGTGCTACTCCATTAAGGGCATTTTTTTTTTCCCTACAAATGCATGAAAGTGATGGATGCAATGACTACTCAAATGATTCAGTGCTACTGCCTTGGTTTCTGCTAAGAGACCCGCAGTTTGTCAACTATTGGCTTTGCACCAATACTTCAGGTATCAAAGGTGGAAAAGGCAAATAATATAAATTCTTATTATGAAAAAAACTTTGACCTCATGTGCACCCTGAAGGTTTCTCACGGAAAAGGGTTTTGAAGACTGCATTTTGAGAACCACTGTTCTAGAATAATATGTAAGTCCATGCACTTTTTTCTGTAAGTTGAGTTGTAAACATATCTATAGTCAGATGTTGTTTATTCCTAAACCTTTTTATGCCAGTTATAACTGTTATTTTATTTAGATAAGTTAATGAATTAGTCATGGTATGATGAAATATGAATAAACAAAGAAAATGAATGTTTCTATAAAAAATAAGTTGAATTCTTTAGGAAAGAATTAATAAAGGAGAGTCATTAAAAACTATTACTGCTGAATTAGATGTGGAAGAAATAACTTTAAAAGATTAGAAAAATAATTATAAAAGTCTATAATGATTTTCCACTCAAGTTGTTTCTCAAATCTAAGTAATTGCTTCACATTAAGGAAAGTAGAACTGGAAATGACAGGATAATTGCTTATAGGTTTGGTTTATGCCAGAAAAATGGCACAAAATTGTAATCAATTGATCCATCATCCAATAATAAAGGCTTTATTTTAATATCAAAACTTTGGTTAATGAGAGGCTACTTAGTTATATTTACTTTAATAATAGAATGTTTAGTGATAGCTGTCTTTTTATAATTCCTCATTTTAATTTTTTGACCAACTAATCTACTACTTTTTTATATTTTACCAAGTAGGTAATAAAATAATCTGAAACTAATACTTGAAATTATCTCTACTTGGGCAGTTGTAGGGCTTGAGGAGAGAACCGAATTAAAGTTATATTGAGTTGTAAGCTTTATTGGAGAGTGTCATATAATGATTAAATCGAAATTCCAATGGAAAAGCTTTAAGATGTTTTCTTGAAAAAAAAATAAGGCAACTTCTAGAGGCATAAAAACACATTTATGACTCTTGGCTTCTAAAGATAAACAGAAAAAGAAGAGACTCAAAAGTTACTTAAATAATTCCAGCAGATAAAAAGAAAGAATTTTAAAAACAAATAGTTAATATAAACTTAAAATAACATAACAAAATATTATTATGACTTGAATAGTTCAATTTTTCTGATTAAAAAGAAAAATATTAAAAAATGAGTTAAAAGAAATTTAGTTATAACTAGAAACATAACTAAAACAAAACCATTTCACTTATAACAAAATATTTGTGTCTACTCATTTATTTCAGCCTACAAACAGAATTCAATAAACTCTTGGTTATCATTTTTCTGGAAATAGAACAGAGAAGAATTTTTCTTATCTCTTTTGTTTTGGACAGTTTTGCACAATGTGCTTTCCATAAGAATATATTTCTATAGTATAATTTGATAAAAAGGAAAAATTATAGGGGAAAAACTCTTCCAAGATCTGATAATTACCCCAAATCTGATAATTACAGTGCCAGACTCCAACACCACATGCATGGACATACACAATGAGGCAAAGATAAGGTAAGAACAAAGACTTAGTTTTAGAAAGGGGTAAGAATGGCAGACATAGCTAATAAAAATATAGGACATTTAGTTATATTTGAACTTCAAAAAGTATACATTTTTGTGTGTGTGTGTGTATATATATATATATATATATATATATATATATATATATATATATATACCTTTTAGTGTATGTATCAAATATTACATGGAACATACTTATACCAAAAACATTTATTCACTGTTTCTTTGTAATTTATACCTACTGGGCGTCCTATATTATTTCATTTGACAATTTTTTTTTTTTTTTTTGAGTTAGAGTCTCACTCCAACGCCCAGGCTAGAGTGCAGTGGCACATTCACAGCCACCCTAGCGTCAATTTGCTGGGTTCCGGTGATCCTACCACCTCAGCCTTCCAAGTAGCCAGAACTACAGGTGTGCGCTACCACACCTGGCTAATTTTTGATTTATTGTAGAGACAAGGTGTCCCAGGCTGGTCTCAAACTCACGGACTTTGGCAATCCACTCACCTCAGCCTCCCAAATTGCTGGGATTACAGGCTGAGCCACCGAGCCTGACCTATCTGACAATTCTAAGGATATATACACAGGTGGTGAAACAAAGAAAGCCACTTCGAGTAAGCAGGCAGAAGCCATATATGAGACCGAATTCATTGAACTTGGATTCAGATTCCAGACTTAAACATATGGAGAAAAGAAATATTTGAGGAAAAGTGGATCACTATTCTTAAATCAGTTCCCAGCGCAGAAACAGAAAAACAGAGGTCTAAGTAAGGAAAGAGGAGTTAGTAGAGGGAGGTGAAAGGAGAGGAATATGTGATAGATGCTGAGTGTGACCTTTGGAACAGAGCTTTGGAAAGAAGGAAAGAGAAACTGATAGGCCCCAAAACAAGTCATGACCATGCCTTAAATCTAGACTGGCAGTGAAAACAACTCAGGAAACAATGTAAAAGCCCTATGGATAGCCCACGGACAAGAATCTAGGTTAGACCAACAGTGGGTATAGGAATGGGCATAGACCACATGTTGTGAACACTAAAACTATTTTGGTGAGCAGATAGATACTGAATTATCTTAATTATTTTTAAAAAATCTATCAAAATAAAAACATTTTCCGAGAACTTAGTAGATATTAACAGAATAATGCGCTATTTGTCTGGTATTGTTGGAAATAGGTCATCTCAAATATTTAGTGAATTTTATATAAATAAAATTATCACCTGAAGGACCTCAAATTCCTAATATGATTTTTTCATTGAAGTCCTTTCATATAGTTAATCAAGATCCTTTAAACAAAGAGAGTTAACATAACACATTCTTTTTCTAATAACTAAGAGTCATTAGAGATATCAAAATTTAAAGCTGTAAAGGAGTCCATAAACTAAAAGCCCTTCATTTCACAGAAGAATCAGATTGTGTTTAAAATAATGTTTCAAGCCGGGCTCGGTGGCTCAGACTGTAATCCCGCACCTTTGGGAGGCTGAGGTGAGTGGATTACCTGAGCCCGCGGGTTCGAGACCCGCCTGGGCAGCGAGACCTCATCTCTACAATAAATCAAAAACTCAGCCGGGCGTGGTAGCACATGCCTGTAATTCCGGCTACTTGGAAGGCTGAGGTGGAAGGATCGCCGGAGCCCAGCAGGTCGAGGCTGCGGTGGCCGGGAGCGGCCACTACACTTCAGTCTGGGTGACAGAGTGAGACTCCAACTCAAATAATAATAATAATAATAATAATAATAATGTTTCAAAACAAGAATTAATTGTGCTCATCATTTAACTTTTGCATGGAAAATATTTACAGAAAAAAGAGAAAGAAAATAAAATTACTTCATTAGAGATTTCTGAAATATGTAGTTTTTTTCTGTTTAATCTGCCTGTCAACTCTTTGATGTAGACATTAATACCCCAACTGTAAAGAGGAAATAATAAATTTCAGATAGTTTTAGTTTAATTGTCCTGCCTAAGGTCGTACAACTAGTAAATCTGCCTCCAAAGCCTGTAACATTTTTATACATCCTCTGCTTTCTTGCTATAATAGTTCTCACATAGCCATTGTAGCATTAGTTAGACCACCCAGAAGCATGTTGTACTCAGTGTTGATGTTTGAATTGGCTAAGTACAACTAACTTTGAATATGTAAAGTATCATTATTATAATTTATTATGATCATACTAAAGGTATCTAATTATTTTTTAATTTATTAATGCATTTGAAGATAATTGCAATACTTTGTCATATATATGTAGATCTACCATCATTTTATTCATTTATATACACATCTATACATATTATATATAAATATATATGGACATACATATATATGTATACGTGTGTGTGTGTGTGTGTGTGTGTGTGTATTCTCAGTTTACTTTTACCAGACTAAGTTCCAAAAATACAAGGAAATGAAGAAGAAGAGAAAATACATGGTTGGTGTATTATAGGAGGATATGATTGTGCTCATTTTTTTGTCCTTCAGTGATCACTCTTTGGGGAGCCACAAAATGTTTCAGAAAGATAAATCTGTTATTCAACTTCATCTTCAGGAAAATAGGGAAGTGACAAGAAACTTATCTCGAAAGGTAAGATTTTCTTAGCATTGGTTTTACTTAGCAAACTGATAATTTTAAGGACACTATTTCTATCTTTTTGGACTGTGGCCAACTTAGAATTATATAGCTTAATTGATATAAGCTTGTTTGAATATATTTATTGAAACATGATGAAGTAGTTCACCTAAATATCTGCCAAACATTTGGACTGAAGCAATAACATAACATGAATGCATTAGTGCAAATTTAGTGTAATAAACAATATGCTTGTGTCCCTCCAGAATTCGTAAGTTGAAGCTCAAAGTGATAGTATTAAGAAGCAGGGTCTTTGGAAGGCAACTAGGTTTAAATGAGGTCAGGAAAGCAGGGTCCTTATGATGAGTGCCCATAAAAAGAAAAGATCAGAGTTCGAGCTCTAGCTCTCTCTCTTTCTCATCATGTGGGATACAGCAAGAAGGCAGTCTGCAAACCAGAAAAAGGACTTGCCCCCTAATTTCACCTTTGACTATGAGAAATAAATGCCTGTTTTTAAAAGCTACCCAGTACATAGTATTTTGTTTTAGCAGCCCAGACTGACTAATACACTCAGTACAATAACAAATCAATTGATCTCCTTGGAAAATCATTTGTGAGAAATTTATTAAGGTAATCATATTTATACTTTCCATGCATCCACTTAGAAGTAAATGGAATAGAAAATGTGAAGGCAGAAAAATAACATAACTCTTGTTCTACTTGAAGACTGTTTATGTCAACATAGCTTAAATCAGGACAGATTAATATTCATAATATATATAATAAAACTACTTAGAAAGAGATTACTGAGTTTTAATGACACAGTTTTGTGCTGTTAGATGCGAATTTCATTCTCTGTTGACATCTTGAGTTACTTCCAACTCAAATTGCACACTATGCAATGAACTTTGATATTTTGGCAGTTTTTATCTGTAGGATCTTCAATTACCTGCATTAAGCAAAGATCTCCTCACCCCTTCTTTATATCAAAAACAGATTTCCAGTGCATGTTTCTTTTTTTTCTAGTATCAAGTGTTTCATAATTTAAAATGTCAGGTGGTACATTAGGTTGCAATATATATATGTGGCATATAACATAATGAGGCCAAAGGAGAGTTGTTTAAAATATCTTTTGGATCTGGTTTTTACCTCAGCTGCTACTGATAGCTCCAGGATTATATGTCTGAAATCTTCAGAAAATATCTTAATAAGTGCAACTGACACCCTCAATATAAATATACTCAAGATTCTTCAAATTGTCCACAATATTGAAAAAAAAGCTAAAGTCATCATATTTAATTGCAACATGGAGAAGAAGAGAAAATATTTTATTTTGCATGTCACTAAAATAATAACTTATTGGTAGTAATTCACAAATCACTAACATTTCAGGCTCATATAAATTAAGGATTGAGCCAGGCTTGGTGGCTCAGCCTGTAATCCCACGCCTTTGGGAGGCTGAGGTGAGTGGATTGCCTGAGCCCGCGGGTTCGACACCCGCCTGGGCAGCGAGACCTCATCTCTACAATAAATCAAAAAATCAGCCGGGCGTGGTAGCGTGCGCCTGTAATTCCGGCTACACGGAAGAATGAGGCGAAAGGATCACCGGAGCCCAGCAGGTCGAGGCTGCGGTGGCCGGCGACAGAGTGAGACTCCAACTCAATAAATAAATAAATAAATAAATGAATAAATGAATAAATAAATAAATAAATTAGGGATTATTTTAAAGCCCATATAATTCACTACTCTGATATAATGTGTGTTGAGCAAGCACATATGTCTAGGGCTTTAGCATTTTTATCACATATAATCTTCACAATAATTCTGTAAGACAAACACTATTAACAGTAAGGAATCTGTCGGGCTCGGTGGCTCAGCCTGTAATCCTGCGCTTTGGGAGGCTGAGGTGAGTGGATTGCCTGAGCCCACAGGTTCAAGACCTACCCGGGCAACTTGGCAAGACCTCGTCTCCACAATAAATGAAAAAAAAAAAAAATTAGCCGGGTGTGGTAGTGCGCGCCTGTAGTTCCAGCTACTTGGAAGGCTGAGGCGGAAGGATCGCCGGAGCCCAGCAGGTCGAGGCTGCGGAGGCCGGGAGCGGCCACCGCACTGAAGTCTGGGCGACAGAGTGAGACTCTAACTCAAAAAAAAAAAAAAAAAGTCTAATAGAGATATGTGCTCTAAAAGTTGAGGATAGGCACATCCGATGCAGATGAATATGAGGGATTAGTGGTGGTGCTTATTTTTTAAATCTATATCCTAGAGCATATATGTCTAGCTCTAACGACAAGAAAATAAATTTAATTATGTGGCATCTTGATTAAAAGCAGAGATTCTAGTTTCATGCCACTCAATTCAATGGTCACTTTTGCGAAAATTATTAAATTCTCTGCACCTTAATTTCTTCCTCCAAAAATGTGAATTATAATAGTTCTTATCTAATGTGATTATTATGAAAATTCAATTGAGAAATATAAATGAAGATCTTAAGTCAGTGCCTGCACCAAGTAAGAGTGCAGTATTAGCTATTGATAAGTATTAGCTATTGATGTCATAAAATTAGGATGTTAGACTATGTGTTATTTTGGTCCTTTACTATGAACAATTCTAAAACATTATTAATATTAACTCAAATTTTAACATTCAAAAATTTATTCATGATGATGAAAATATCAAGAAATATGGACATATATCTGTTATAGCAAAATAGTATATACATACAGTATCATGATTGTTAGTATATCAACAATTTTTATATATCACAATTTTTGTTATAAACTTTCAATACCCATAGAGAAGAATAAGTTATACTCTCATTTGAAAATTTTATATGTTACAAGTAAATAAAAATTAAAAGATAATTGCTTTATTTTTATAGTAAGTTTCATATAATTTTCTTTCTGGGACATATATTTGTGCTATGGTTAGCTTAATAAAAATGAGACAGCTTATCAACTTGTGACTTATTTATTATCTGAATCACTATATTTAGAATAATTGACTCAGTTTGTTTTTAAATTTTTATATACACATCATAAGAAAATAGTGAATGTTTCCTCAATTCTGTTTTTAAAAGTCAACATTTTATGTGATTTTTCAGAACTTCAGCTGTAAGCTAAACATTTATGAACAGTTATATTATCTTTCTAGCATAACAGTGTAAAATTGACTTGATAGTATTTTTTCACTTAATACTAGGAACATAATGATCATCATCACTTTATTAAATTTATTGGCACTATTGCCTTTCAATGAATACTTCAGAAGTTTTTAACTGTAAAAAAGATTGCAAAACTCAATTCATGTAGATAACTTTCATTTTAAACTTGATAATATTATACTGAAATATGATAGTTTAATTCTCTTAAGAGATCAAGAAGATTGTTCTAAAAAAAAAGCAGGTTGACAGTCACTAGAAATCACCCTAGATTTCAAAACTGTAGAATTCTCACCTTGATTAGCTGTGAATTATGAAACTCTTTTTATTTTTTTCTTTTTTGTCTTTCTGAAAATTGATAAAAAATTTTGCCAACATTGTAGATATTATTAATAAATTAATATTTCCTTCTAAAGCAATAGATTTTTGTATGGAAAAAGATTTTAACTTTTTCCTTAAGACCAACTCATGGCTTTCAGCTTTAGAGAAAAGCAAAGTGCACAGAATATTTATGGACAACTACTGAATTTTTTTCTCCAGCTTTTATTTTTAAGATCTGTTAATAATTTTAACCAAAAATGTTTCTAATACATGAACTTTGCACTTTTTTTCCTGCCAGCCTTTTGAGGTACTTTAATTAAATATATATATTATACATATTTATATATATATAGTTGTATATAGTTATTATATATATTCATATGGCAGTATGACAAAGGCCAGTTTTCTCCACCAACAGTATCTCTGGAAACCAAATAAAGTGTATTCTTAAACTAAATATGATTATGCTATACAGAAATGTAAAAATAAGTTAAATTATTTATATGATCACTTTGGTTTTAGTTTCTGAAAAAAGACAAGTGCCAAATATTATAGTTTCAATCTTAGTACTTTTTTTCACTTGTTTTTCACTGTCTATTTTTCTTCTACCATCTTCATGCCTAAAGTCTTACCACTATCACACTTTCTGTGTTAGCTGTCCAGTCCCAGTGACTCCAGATGTAAAATCCTGGAGAGTAAGCCTCACATCTTCACTTTCATTTTAGCAAAGTGTTTCTTTATCACAACATGCAGTCAAAATTTTGTTTTATAGTGATGACCTTATTTTTTCCTTGTAACTTCATTTCCTTCTTCGATTTCACAAAACAAACCAATATAAAAATTAACTTACTTTTGACATTAGGTCATATAAAGACTTTCCTGATATATTCTGTCAAAAACTTTAATAGTTCATTTTAAAAATAGATTGTGTGCTGACACTCAAGATTACATACACCCCAAGCATTACGGGACTCATTTAATTCTCAAACTTAACACCACCATGTGGTGAAATAGTGTGATTATGATGAAATATCATGCATTCTCCTCTGCATACTTGAGTAGGGTTTTTGTAGATGCCCTGTGAGGAAGAGCTAGTCAAGAAATTAAGGTATGAATGTATGTGTGTTAGTGTGTATTCATACGGGATACATGACTGACATTTTAAGATGAGTAGTTTCTGCTTATATAGGGAGAAAACAAAATGCCAGCAGATGACTCCTGGAATTTATACCTCCTATCAGTAGTCTCCATTCATTAGCATAATTTAGTTTTCATGAAATGGGGAGCTCTCTTACACCAACATTTTGGCAGCAAGATGGGTGAAGCTGAAAAATAAAGGTCATTATGATCTGCCAGCCCATCTGACAAAATGTCAAGCCTTATACTGCCATAGCCTGCGTGGCTTGCATGTGAGGAAAAAACAAAATGTGTATATATGTGGAAGAACTGGTGCCTGGAAAGTGTCTTCTTACTTACTGGGAGAAATTAATGTTTGACCTTGGCGATGCCATGATTTTTTTTAACTGTCCCTTAGGTTTGTTCTCAACGAAAGCTCAGCTTTTTTGCATCACTATGGAAAAGGCTTATACAGTGAAGGAGAATCTTATAAGGTCCTTAAGACAAAGTATAAAAATAATGAATGAAGGTTATCAAAATAGGTGAACAAAATGACAGCAGGAAGTTACAGACCTATTTTTATCTGGTACTCATTCCTATTCACTCTATAAATATTAATATATTCTACTGTCTACAGCACGAAGATGACCAGAGCCAGTTTTATCTGAACCAACTTCTAGAATTTATGCATATTTGGAAAGTATCCAGGTAAGCCATTTTATTTTATTTTTGCTTCAAGACTAGTTTCTGACTAAGTTCTCAAATGCCAAATCACAATATTTTTAGGTTAATTGTAAAAATTGTCCCTTCACTAGTATCATGGAAACTTATTGTACTTTTAATAGATACCTCTCTCTGGCAAATTTTGTTAATAATTTTCTATTTTTCACAGTTATTCAGGTATACTTGAAAAGCTGCTAACACCTTCCACAACATTCTAACCTTTATTTTAAAATACATCTACTATTGGTTATTACATTTTCAAGGACGTTTTTTCTCGTTCATTTTGTGAATTTGATTATGCATGTGTCATTAAGCTTTTTGTAAAACTAAATTTCCATACCTTGTAAGTCACCGTCTCCTGCTTTAAATTTCTTTCTGGAACTTCCTGAAAATAATTGTTTTCAGGAAGAAACAGAGGAGTGGGAATTCAAATTGAAAAATTCAAATGACCATATCTTATACCTGAATGTATGAGTGTATTATTTGAAAGAATAGACACAGGAAACAAAACTGGGAGAAGATATGAGTGCCACCATTTGCATATATCTGGAATTAAGACCATTCTGAACTGAGCCAGCAAAAAAAAATGTCATGTGGGAAGTATATGTCAAATCCCTAAAGAAAAGCCTGATATAAAATATGGGCTAAAATAGTTTTTAGTTATTATGAATCATACTTAATCATTCCCTGGAGTTACTATATGCTTACACATATTATCGCATCTAATTTTTCCTAAAACTCTGTGATAAAATATATTATTTATTTCAGAATCAAGAAAATTGAAGTACTAGGAGGTTAAAGAAATTGTGTAAGGCTGCTCAGGTCATAAGCAGCAGGACTGAAATCGCATCTGCCTGAAATTTGCAAGGTCCATATTCTTTCATCAAACTATTGTTTGATGCACTCTCTTCCATTCATTCCACCTGAAATGTTCAGCTTCATGCCATAAATCATAGAATGACTGAGGCTAGAAAGGACTTCAGTCATAATGTAATTCAAATTTTCATTTCATAGTTAATTACATGATTCAGGTATAGTTTCCTGCCACATAGCATATTGACAAAGGCTGTAGTTTCCTTTTTCAAAAATGAATCTATACAGAAAAGCGAGAGAGACAGCAAATATGATTATTTTTTTAAGTGGAAAGTCCCTAGGAGACAAAGAAGTATTTTGAACTGACTTGGTGGAGGGTCGCTGTGTCTTGTAAGTGATTGCTACCTGGGCACAGAGAGATCAGCAAAGGCGGTGACAAAATGATGCTCTTGTCTTACTCCTGACGTTGCCTGCCCCCTAGAAGTTTTGTGGCCTGGACCAGGGTGCAGGTACAGGTGTCCACAAAGGTAATTCAGGCAAACAAAAGCTGCAGAAGGAATAGAGGAAACCTGTTGGGGACAACCCCACTTCAGACGTTAGCACCTCCATTCTTCTCTCCAACCCCAAGGCAGTGGACTATAATCTGAGAGTTGCCCTCTCCCAATGCTGTTTCTTCTGTGGTAAGGAAAGTAGAAATGGAAGTTCAAACGTTTGGCAACCATAGTACAAATATTTAATGCCACGGCTGTGATTAAAACCAAACCTCTAACTCTCAATCAGTGCTTATTCCACTCCCATTATATTCTGAGTTCCCACCTGTGATCTTTTTCAAGTGCTACCCAGCACAGGTCCATTCTCAGCTTCATAAAGGCCACTGTAGCACCTTACTGTCTGTGACACAATGCTGCCCTGTCTGGACTCCTCAGATCACTTAATGGGGTCATCAAAAGTTCAAGCACTGGATGGCAGGAGCTTTGATTTCAGTTTCTCTCTTTTATGACTCATCTACCTATTAGAAGTTGGACAAATCATTTACCCTCGCTAGTTCCTGGTAGTTTTTCTACAGGATAGATATAGTGTCCAAGAGCAAAGTGCTGAAGCAGGCTCATTCTTGGAGGTCTTAATAGTTGTAGGTTTTATATAAAACACTCCCTTGCCCGAATCTTTTTCTATTCTTCTCCTCCCTCTTCTTTGATTTTTACATATTCTGTGCATTTTGTCTTAAAACTAACAGATGGACTCCATCTAAAGTGATAATGTAATAAAGAACAAGAACACAGCTACTGTAAAATATATTGGTGTATTTTTGTGTTGTGTGACTCATGCATGATTTGCTTTAATTCAGAAGTTTTCCATACAAATAAGAAAGTAAAGTCAATAACGTTTGAGAAAATCATTTTAAACAATGAAGCTCAGAAGACACTCTGCTCAAATCACGTTTTCCCCCTAAGCATAGATAAAGCTGGAGTAATAAGAGGAACTTAGGAGAGAAAAATGCAAAGGGTTGGTTTCAGAGACAACTTCATCTTTTATAAATATAAGCCATTAATTCAAAATGCAATTCTCTACAAGATTTTGCATACTTAACATTTCTTGATGTTAATATATGCCATTATCTGTGTATGCATCTCTTTTCAACTTACATTCTGAATTACGAGTAACTTGATATAATGATCAGCCTTTTAGAGATTTGGTTAATTTATCATGAATTCTTTGGAGTTCTAGGATTATCAAATATGTTTGTAGTCTATCAAGTTATACAAACTTTATAAGGCACCCTTCTGAGATGTTTGAAAAATTATGTCAACAGTGATCCTTTTTATGCTATGTTTACTATAGAGTCATGACCAAAACAGAACTTGTGATATATATTTGTGCTAAAGGTAATATGAGGTAAGTTGTCCCGCTGAATGTTAAATGAAGTTTGTTTTCTTTTTTCTCAGACAATGCCTCTTAACGCTAATCAAAAAATATGACTTCCACCTGAAATACCTATTGAAAACTCAGGTACTGACTTCTGTTACTTTATCCATCAATTAAATAAGCATTTATTATGCATCAACTATTTTTCTAAAACACTACAAGTTTCTGAAGATAAAAATGAATAAAGCAGAAGATTACACTTGAAATGGTTTCATTTGAACATGGAAAAATAGACAAGTAAAAAAAGTTGTGTGCAGTAAAGTGTTATAGCTGTGGAAGACCTGTGTGTATACAGTGATATACAGAAAGGAGGATTCGTTTTACCCATTTGAGCTGAATGTTGAAAAATGAGTACTCTATGTGTTTTCTGGCCTGAGATGGGTATCATGAAGGAAGCTGGAGAGTAGGGATAATTTTTAGCAAAGAACAACATAAACAGTAGCAAAGAATCAGGAAACAGACTGGTGCAATTAGGACTATAAAATTTGAAATAGCCACAATGAGCGCTCAAGGTAAGAGCCTGGGTGGAAAGAGACCAGAAGAAGAGAGAAGACAGGGGCCAAGCTATGCACAATCTTATGACCCTTTTATGGCCAGTTTCATGAATTTCTATTTTACAAGCTGATGACATGGAGCCATAGGCAGAATAGTAGAATGACTCATGGATGTTTAGAGGAAAATGTCCTAAGCCCAAAGAGATGATGAGGGCATGGATGGACACCCTACTATAGGAATGAATATGAGGGACAGATTCACAACAAGTGAGATGTGTAATTTACACGATTTGGTGAAAGACTGTGAGCAACAAAGGGGAGGGGTGTCTAAAACAATGAAGAAAGGAGAAGGTAGCATGGCAGGGGGGAAATGATGGATTCAGTCCAAGGCTAATGAAGTTTGGCCACCTATTGTGCATTAAAGTTTTTTTTGTTGTTGTTGTTTTTGTTTGTTTGTTTTTGTTTTGTTTTTTTTGAGTTGGAGTCTCACTCGGTCGCCCAGACTGGAGTGCAGTGGCCGCTCCCGGCCACCGCAGCCACGACCTGCTGGGCTCCGGAT